TTATTGTCGTCAATGATAAAATATAAAACTTCCTAAATACACAACGCCAATCACGGTTTTGACAGGATGCGTGCAATATTTCCAGATCGTGGTGAACAGCATGAAAATCGTGCAGGAATAAGTACAATTTACATCACTACCAAAGACGATAATTAACTCATCAATGAATCAACTATTGCTATTAACTTAAATCATTACTCCATTATGCTTAAAAGTAGTGAAACTACATGCAATGATTTTGCAAAAATGCTTCTCTTAACGTATCCATCGCCCTTGAATTAGTGCTTTAAATCCACAACAATGTATCCTTGTTAACTAAATGCAATTACATTTTATTTTGCTGTCAAGTGCCAGATAAAATAAAGAAACTTGCACTTTCATTCATTACTAAAAAGAAATGCAGTATACCTCGTTAAATTTAAAAAGTAAAGGGTATCGGTCTTTCTCCAAGGTAGCTTCTTCCTGTAGAGATCTGTCATTACTTTGTAAACCCTTATCGTTTGACTTTTTAAACCTGCTCTCAAAGCAAATACGGATCAGCTGCAGTAAATAATCACTACGTAATGAGAATAATTCCGTAAGGCATGCCAGCCATCCAACAATCCGGTCGTACATAAAAAACATCCAATTGGAACCATTACATAAATCAATGGACACACCATTAATCCTATCCTATTATACAGAAGTCACTTCTTTTTAATTAATAGTAATCAGTTAAAGAGATTTTTATTTCTTCCATGAAGCGTGGTGTTTTTCCAGATTGTATCAAAGTCTAAAATAAATAAATAATACATAAAATAATTTGGATCCAGGTATGATGAATTGCCAAACAAAATCAATATTTAGCATGCAGATTAGACGAGAGAAGAATCTTTTATTGCACTGAACCTTCCTGGAACAAGGATTTTCGAGTGCATGATTCTCCTAATCAACCAATTACAATTCCAAAAACTCCTTTTCCCCCCTAATTTTTTTTATTTATAACAGTTGTAACAACATTAACCAACTAACTTCCCGAAGTTGCAGACCTACTTGCATTGGGCCCTTTTTTGTTTCTATTGGTATACACATTCTTAATAGGTCAAACACATGATTTCAATGCACATCAAAAATTGAATTAAGATATGCTGGGAATACATTTTAGAGACAGAATCAATACCATGCCGGTGTAAAGGCCAGGAAATTTCTCAACCTGGCTAGGGAAATTTGTTGAGGAAGAATATATTGCGGAAGGCCTGTGACATCAGCTAGGTTTCATTTTAAATAGCTAAACTATGTTTCCAATTTCATGGAACTTAATTAATTTTTCAAAATTAGAAACTATAATTACAATACATGGATTATTTTAGCCAACATGATTCTCATATATCAATATTTGATTTTAGAAGTAATAATGACAGAAAAAAGTAGTTATACTTTGTTATGATAGCAATTGATACAAGACATAAAAATCACCGAGGAAGAATCACCTGTCAAAGAAACTTGAGGAACTTTTGTAAGGTTTTTTCATATTTCCTACGTTTGATAGTTTCACACTGTCTGCTGCTCTTGCACTTTTATCGGAATTCAAGTTCGGTGAAACTTTTGTTGGATTTGCATTTGATTGCCTTGCTAAAATATTAACCTGATTTTCATTAGTTTTCATAACGACAGCAGTTGCTTGATTGGTATTGGCTGATGGAATGCTGTTAGTTCCAGTCTCAATAACTTCATGCCCTCCATTTGCTAAGGCCACAGTTTTGTCAGTTTTGTCAGTTTTGTCAATAGTAACTTGTAAAATCTTATGCTTTTCAACCTGTAACATGTGAAATAGTGCAACAGAAATACAAGTGAAAAAAATGTATATATACATCCCTGATAAAACTATCAAATTTTAAATGAGTCAATTTGAAGGAAAAGCTACTCCAGTAGTAAGCCATTTATAATAACGTTGCATCTGGCTAATAAAAACTGGAACAATGTAAAGTTCTACTAAAGTCTACAAGCAATCTCAGGAATGGAATTTAGAAAAATTAAAAGATTACTACCAAAATATTTATATAAAAAAATGACATATGAAAATAAGTCTTATAGAGCCAAACAGTTATGCTTGACATTCAAATTTGGTTTTCGTTCTTTCACATTTGAACCTATATGCAAAACTAATTGTTAAACTTTCAGACATAAGCAATTACTAATATTTTAGCATGTACAATGTATAGGATAAATATTTATTTATATAGCTATATTTTATAAAGAAAAATAATTACTTTCAGGTATATAAATTGTATTATAACTAAAATTTGTAATAGATAAACATTTTTGAACATACAAGTTAAAGTTTTGATTTATAATAAATAATTTTATTAAAATATAAGGTTATTTTTAACTATTTATAATTTTCTTTACAAAAAATTGAAATTCAATTTAAAACTAAAAATGAAAAAGATAAATTAAAAGAGATGAGATGTTGAGAAAAATAGCTAAAACCACTTTCAATGAGAAAAATGAGCAAAAAAATATTCTCATTGAAGAATACTCCTTAAAAACACTCTTATCCGGGATAACTATTCTAAAATTTATAGAGGAGTTTTTTTTATCCATAAGAATTGAACTTGGTACTAAGAGGATTTATAACAACTCAAATACCTTAATCAACTGAGTTAGACCACCTTGATTATAGAAAGGATGATATTAAGACAGCAGTAAGAATGCTAGAAATGAGGATAGTCATTAGTCAACAAACATGTTTTTTATATATAAATAAGTTCTATCACAAGTGGAGAGGCTGGACAAAGGAAAAGTTTTGAATATCCTCCTAAAATTAAAAAGCAAGAGAAAACTATGTACTAAAGTAAAACATCAAAGTTAATGAAGTCTAACCTCATGTACCAAAACCTGCTTCATAGATAAAGAAAGCACATAACGGTTTGAAGTATAATCCTGCACAAATGTAAAGAATATAACAGATATTAAAAATCTGGACAAGAGTCTTATACTTCCATGATATAAGTATGACCAATGATTTAAAATCCAAAACCTTGAAGTTTATGAAGTCACTGATAGGAGGAACAAGAGACAGTGCCAAGCCATCTGCTACTTCACACTTCAGGGTTTGAGGCAGCATATCCAATTTCATAGTCTTATATGTTAAAGCATACGATACCATTGTGCTAACTAATTGAGCAAGATCATTCTTCTCATTATCTGATAGTAGCTGTAATGCCACCTAAAGAAAAAAAGAAAACTACCTCAAAAAACCTACAGTGTAACCAGAGCTGAGCCAAAGTTAATATGAGCAATAAAAGCTTAGCTTAAGCTCAACTTATCTATCAGATTACAAAGTCATTTACAAGGAACAATAACATCAAACTGACTTAAATATCAAAGATCAATTTGAAGCTAAATGGTCTTAATACAGTAAGAAAAATATTAATGAAAATAAGGAAAACAAAAATATAAGAACAGAGTTGTAGATAAAAATATAATCAAGAAATAACACAGAACAATGTAGGATCTCCATATCCAAAATTTTAAAAACTGACTTACAGCACTGTAGCAAAGCTGTCAACTTAGAGATTGGGGATTTATAGGTTCCAGGGATTAAACCAAACTGGATTAAGGTTTTGTTCATACTGAATTCAATAATAAATAATAAGACAAAGGACAAAAGGGATTCTCTATCATGAAACTTCCTACTGGAGTATACCTTTACTCCTTAATCTCCTTTTATGTTTCTACTTAATTTCTTTGTACTTGTAACTCGTTTACCTTTCTTGTACAGCAGTAGCATGGTCGATACATTCTATTACTGTCTATAACTAACTTTCTCAGTTAGTTAGAACTATATAGCTTCTGTTAGAAGCTAGACTAACTGCTTCTCTTAGATGCTGGTAGTCCTATAAATACCTCACTGTACTTCAGATTCAAGAGGTTGAATAATTACAGAAACACATTTCACTATTAGTTTTCTCTCTCTCTCTCAAACTTCAACACTTCCGACCTCCTAAGCATCTGAACAAATAATTTATCAGAAAAAAACGGTATCTCTTCACAAACACAAAATTGAACATCAAATAATAGTGGATCTGCAATTACATCTACTCGAGCAATTATAGAGGAGGAAACAAAGGTGACAAAATTGATTAAAATTAGATAACAAAACCATATTCATAACACATAGAATTAGTACATCACCGGTCTTATAGTTGGTGGGGACAGAATATGTAACAATGGAGAAATTAAGTCTTCAACAAAGGAACTAGCTGATAAGTGCCTTGCAATAAACGGTGGGATTTTGTGGTGCCAGGTATTCAAAATGTCCATCCTTTCCATCATCATTGTACGATATCTGAAAATTTTTATATGAAACATGAGGAAATTTTTTGTAAGAAAAATACATTTCAAAATTAATGCTAAGCATACTAGCACAAGAACAAGATATACCTTTGATGTGACTTTGGCCACTCAATGTTTGGTTTCTGAACTTGAGATACTATATGATGTACAGTAATTCCTACTAGGGGCAAATATACTGATAAAAGGAAAGATAGAGAAACAAGAGTGAGCTTTAACTTGTTAACAGTATTAAAGTAGGTAAATTATCTTCTTACCATAAAGGGGCAATTGTTGTGTATGCATTATATATTGATGCATTAGATCATAAACTCCAAGATTGTTGAAGCACTTGACCTTCAAACAGATTTTAAAACAATTTTCAATCATTTAAAAGAATTGGTGAGAGAATCCCCGGAAATCAGTAGTCTGTGATAAATGCTTACAGTTTTCTGCATCACTGGGTCATGATAACTGAGCTGCAAAATATTTTCATGAATTCCATCCAGAATCAAGTCACTATCACCACTGCACATTAATGTTCCCATTTCACCATCAAGATGTATTAGAACAGAAGGAGAAATGCGTAAAATATGGCCTACCGGTTTGACACAAGGGAGTACAAGTAGTCAAATTCAAAGGACTTGCCGTTATGAGATTTTCTTTCCATCTTTTTTGTTCTTCTCTTATGGAAAATCTACACAGAATACCCACTCATTGCTAAAGATGGTAAATTTGAAGTAGTACTTTTAGACAATTACTGGGTTAGAAACAGACGAATTTAAAAGTGTAGTGCATCTTACTTCTTTCCAAACGTCTAGAACATTCTTTGACTTGTCCTTCTGGCCAACTACTTGAGAACCAATATCAAACTGAGCACAAGTAAAGCAAGTGAACATTAACTAAGCATCTAAAGAACAAAAGAAATTTTCTTCACTCAAACAAAATGTACTCCAAATTTTGAAGTGAAGGGCCAAGAAGCCACAAAAATCTTCATAGACTGTGTTCTGACAGAATATCAATAATTTACAGAAATACTCTCAAATTCTCTTTCTGCTTTGTTTCATTTTCTCATTCAAACTGCAACTCTATTGTGGATTCTCTTTCTGCCACTGTTCTGCACCCACCAGAGTGCCCTCAAACATTCAAAACACTCTCAAACAAAATCCATCAAACAAGTTTAATACTTGTATTCATTCTGTGAAATAATTTAGTGTTTTAAACAAAAAAGAATAGAATCGAACAGCACCTTCATCTCTTTCTATGTTTTCTACTTTTTTCAGGTCCAGTAAAACATGTATTATATTGGGAAAGGATTGGTATATAGCCTGGCTAATAGATAAAGGGGTCTATACTTATATCTACTACTATAAACTGAGCACACATTAGCTAAAAGCCTAACAATGTTAAGTTGGAGCATCCCCCTTGAGAATTCTGTCTCGTCTTTTTCTTTCACAAAGGATAAGATCAAATGTATATTACCCATAGACTTCAATAAGTGGAATTTGAAGATGTAAAGTTCAAAAATGGAAGAGTAACAAAAGCAATATTAAATAACACTTTTTCTTGTGTCTTCCAAGGGAATAAGTTATGAGATACTTAGGGAAAATTGAGATTTTTATAAATAATAAACTTCATCCTATTCTAGAAATTTAGTAAATCTTAGCAGACAGAAACACGTTAATCACTCACCAAAAAAATTAAAAAGAAAGTAACGTTTCTGTAACTTCTTCAAATGTTCCCAAAGCAAGAAATTAGGAGTTGCCAATCAATTATATATGAAATAGAAACACAAACAACCTGATGAATTCACAAGTCTTTAAAAGTTCTAAAGAATTTTTGGATCAGATTAAAGTCTTACCACATTGAGGGCTTCTTTCTTCTTGGAGAGAAACTGGAGAGTGTTCAAGCATGATCTAATATCACATTCTGTAATGAAAGGGAGGGGGAGATAGAGTGATAGAAGGATTAAATGATTGGAAAGATGATTTGGATAATTAACATTCAGTAAAAAAAAGCTTCAATTACACCATGTGTCAAAACATCTAGAGACGCCACAAAAACATGTATTAGATTTAGCACGAATCAAGCATTCAAAATGTGACAAACACCATTATCATACTAGATAAAGATTAATTCAAGATGTGAAAACTGAAATTACATACTTATTGGTTAGCCACATCTAGGCCAAGGACTTCCCAAAAAGAAGGCAAGATATTCAAAGAGAGTTTCTCACATGCTCTGGTTAGGATCCAATTGCAAGGAAAGAGACTTGAGTCCCAACCCACATTGGAAGTATGAGATGGGGTTTATAATTTGCAAGGCTAACTCTAGTAGTGTAGTTCTCCCATGGTTCTGATTAACTCTTAAATGCCAATGAAACATGGCTAAGATTCAAGTGGTTGGCATGTCAAAGCTCTTTTCAAAAGCAAGTTGTCATCACAGGGTGTGTTGCATCAACCCACATGTTCCCATAAACACAAAAATGTTATAGCAGAAATCTTAAGAAAGTGGGTTAAGAGTCTAACTCAACCTTATAAAATCACCTAGTAAAGTGAGGATTGCTCCCTACTTATATACTCTTTAATTGTCATAATTCTCTTAGAAGTATGTTTACTTAGTTGTCTATGTTGATAGCATAATTATTACATATTACAAGGAATGACGTTAAAATTTCTTAACTGAAAGAGCATTTGTGCAATCACTTTTAGACAAGAGATCTTGGCTGCCTAAAATGCTTCCTTGGTATTTTAGTGGCTCAATCAAAGGAAGACATTGTTATTTCATAGAGAAAGTATGTTCTGGATATTCTAGAGGAAAGTGGAAACAAGCATGATAGGTTGTAGGTCCATTGATAGACCTAAGGACCCAAATCAAAAGTTAATGGCAAATCAAGGTGACTAATTGTAGGGCCATTGATAATTGGAATGTTGTGATTCACACTCTAGATACATCAAAAAGGCTCTAGGACAAGGATTGTTTAATGAGGATAAGGGAGATACCCAGATTATTGGGTATTGTTATGCTGATTAGGCAGGATCTCCTGTAGACAAGTGCTCTACTACTAGATATTGATATCCATTGGAAGAAATATTATCTCTTAGAAGTGCAAGAAATAAAGTGCAGTTGTTTGGTCTAATGCAAAAGCACAATATAGGATTTATATGGCCACAATATCTTGTCCTAACCAAACAATTATTTATATTGCCTCTAATCTAGTATTTCATGAGAACTAAATATATAGAGATTGATTATCACTTTGATAGGGAAAAGTAGAGTTGTCCAAGGAAATTATTACTGAATTTATCAATTCAAATGACCAACTAACAAACGTTTGGAAAAGTTCTAATAGGGCCTCGAATTAAATTTTTATGTTCAAAGCTTGGTACATTCAACCTATATGCTCCAACTTGAGGGGGAGTGTTAGAAAAGTTGTTTTGTTACATGTTGTACAACTTTCATAAAGTTGCTTTTTGGTTGTATTTATTCCCTTGGGTATAGGCTTCTCTCTATGTAAACCTATTTTGATTATTGTTATACACACACATATTGATTTTGAGTGAGTCTTAACTTTTAACTCTCAATCATTTTATTCAAATCACTTAATAACAAGTGTAACAAAATTCAAAAAGATAAGAAAATTACCTGTATATTCTGCTAGAGCACTAAGAGCAATTGCACTAGCTTTCATCCCCTCCTTGTTACATATATATGTCAACCTACAAAGATCATTTAAGTTTAAGGATGAATTTATGAAACTAAATAAACAAAGAAGGCACTACTAAACAATAATCAAATGATTAAATATGTAGTCTAGCAACAATAGGTACAAATTCAGAGTTAACAATTCATTCAAATTTATAAGTACAACTCCAATCCATATCTTATTAATATGCAGCCTAGCAACTGTGAGTAGCTAATTTGTGATGAAGCACAAACACCTCTATAGAATATCGTTTTGGTGACACGTTTTAGACACAACACTTGTCAAACACGCACATCCAACACCTCTAACCCATGTCATAATTAAGAATCACTATTTTTGGTTTGTAAATTTGTCGAACTCAACTTGGACATGAGCCAAGAGAATGAGCTGACACATGCTCTTGACTAAAACATTTTTTGACTCTCCTGTTATAAACTTGTACTCAATCAGATTAATATACATCACTCTAATAAAAATGCTATTTATTTCTATTCAACATGTTGTGTGGCTAAGTCTCATCATATACATACTCCTATTTCACAAAATGCTCATTACATCCCTTTAGAACTAGTGTATTGTGATTTGTGGGGTCCTTCCCCTATGCCCTTTTGTTTCACAAATCATTTTTCTAGTTTTCAGTTTTACAATCTTTCTCTTCTCTCTCAACAACTTACATGCAACATTTCAACCAGATCTTTTACTTAATTGTCATGTCTTTACAACATTACTCGTCTATCTAACACCTCAAGCATCCTCAAGATGCCTTTCTAGCCATTATTCTTGGAGTTCATATTATAATTTTCATTATTTAAAACATTGATTGTAACAAGCTTAAAGCTTAGTAGGATTTGGTTTGGTAGTGTTGGAAAGTATGAAAAACATTTAATGTTATATTGGTTGTATCTTAAGTAACTTAAATTATCTCTTAGAATTAATCCTATATTTCCTTATTATCTCTTGGAATTAATTTCCATGTTTTCTTTTATTTCATGATTTATCTACTTGTTTAATTAGGATTTTGATCTAGTATTAATATGATTAAGGGTTAATGTTTTATGTTACAAAAGTTGAAACACATCATATCATATCAAGTCAAAACAATGGCATCATATTTAGTCTCTTTGATCCACTCTTCCTTCCTCCCTATCTAAAACCTCTCCCAGATGTTTCTAGTGAATATTGAGATATCAATATGAACTACTAAAAAGTTTCATATTTTGGATTTATGATGTGAGCATTGTTAGGTGGTGTGTGAACAAGGTAGTGGAGGCATGTTAAGACTTGGGAGGAGGTGAAAGACTTCTTGGAGTTATTATGCAAGTTTGTCCGCAATCAGCATGTACCACAAAGGAGCTGAGAGAAGTCGAAGGGATATAGAGAAAAAGGTTAGAGACTTTCAGAAGCCCAATCAAGAACATTGAGAACCATTTTATTCTTACGAAACATGCTAATGTATCAAGCCATAGGGTTATGATTTGTGTTTTTCCCTTAGTTAAGTATTCATGTTGTCATGTTTAGGTTTCCTATATCTAACAAACTGAAAGCCAGTGCAAGCTTCAACAAGAGAGGAAAAGTTAAGAGTGACTTGGAGAAATCAAAATGGTTTCATGTGCACCCAGAATAAAAACTATATCTTTACCTATATAGATGTCTAGGATTACTTGAGATAGACAAAATACTTGAGTTTTAATAATCAATTTAGCATATGCTTCATCCCTTTTTACATTCTTTCCATATTTGTCTTAAAAATATCAACCCTTTATTGTATATCATTAATCATTAATGCATACATAAACAATTATTCAATTGGAAAGTAGCTAAAGTATAGGATACAATTAATATAAATGTAATCAAACAATTTTTCTTTAATAAAGTCAAATGTTGAAGTTAAAGTGATATCTATACAACCAATTTAATCCATTATAGGATATACAACTAAAGAAATTAAAGTAGTTATTAGTTAGAACTTAGAAGGATATCATGGGCCAGGCCCATCATATCTATAAAGAGGAGATTGCTTGGTAGAGAGGAGACATTCATAACTTTTCATATGTAAATAGAGCTTTAACTTTGTAAACGGAGAAATCCTTTGTGAAAGGAGAAACCCTTTGTGAAGGGGAAACCCTTGGAGGAGATCTTTCTCTCCTATTTTGTGTTTTATTAATCCTATTCAATAAAATCTGCCTTTTATTTCTCTTTATGATTCTTGGTTCCTATCAACCTGTCGAATATTAGGAAGAATACTACTGGATCAAATTGAATTTTGGGGAGAAGAAACTGCCTAATTTGTTACTGCGAAAAAATGGAGACTACCAGTTTTCTGGAAAGAGTAGACCAGCGATCTATTAGAGGTTAAGCAAATGCTGTAGTAGTTGGTGAAGAAGCAAGAAATCAAACCACAACTAGATGGGTTATCAATGGAGGTGTTTGTGAGAGAGGCAGCCAATTTTCATGGGTTGCAACATCTTTCTTGCTAGGCCAACATTTCAGAGTTGAAACATAAATTGAACAAGATTCAAGAGTCAAGAAATCGTTCTTGAAGCTAAAAGGGAGGATAGGGAGGTGGTGCAATCTTCTAAAATCAAGATCAAAGAAATGGTTGAGGGAGCAAAAGTGATCAAGCAATGGCTAAAAAGGTGGATGCATAAACAGGACATCATGTTGGAGGAAAAGGTCACAAATGAACAAAGCATTTAGGAGGAGGTCGAGCCTTATTCAACCAAGAATGTCAAGAAAAGCAATGGAAAACCAATAGTTGGTTGCAATGAGACTCGATTGATTGCAACAGCCAATGGAAGTCTTTTATCAAAAGATGCAAATTGGGTTGGAGATAGGGGTATTGCACGAGTAGATTTTGGGGAAACATATACATAATACATGAAATCTTTGTACTATCAATTGGCTACTTTCAACCTAGAGAACAAGGTTGATTTTCAAGAGGGTGGTATTGTTAGGATATAGAATAAAAGGAATTAGAGTAGTTTTTAGTTAGAAGAATATCATGGGCCAAGCCCATCATGGAGGTTACTTGGTAGTTGGTAGAGGAGAGACATTCATAACTTTACTTTGTAAACTGAGTTTTAGCTCTGTGAAAGGAGAAATCCTTTGTGAAGGAGAAACCCTTGGAGGAGATATTTCTCTCCTATTTTGTATTCTTTTTGTTAGAATAGCTTATTAGGGAAGCTTCTCTATTTCTTATTTTTCTTCTGTATATCTGATGTGAAGTCTTAGGCTCTTAGCCCTTTCAGCCTATGTTGCTTGTTTTGTGTACTCAATCAAATATATCTAGAATGAAGCAATGAAGTGTGCTAAGACACACTAATTTCAGAACCATATTCAAGTCTTTTCATCCTATTTAATAAAATCTTTCTTTTTCTTTTTTCCTTACAATTCTTGGTTCCTAACAACATCCTCCTTTATGAAGTGTCATATTAGCAAAAATTTTGTTACAATTCCAAATTATCTGTTGTTTTACCATACCATGAAAACATTTGTTATCATTTTTCCATCTTTGTCCACCTTCTAAACTAGTGCTTAATAACTACTCTTTAAAGAGATATAGTATTAATCACATATACTGCCAAGAAAAGTCTAATATAGTCCTATTGTCATTTTTTCCTAAAATTTAGGATTTCCTTAATCCTTATATGACATGCTAAAATGATATTTATTTTAAAATGGAGTATTGTAGACTTACCACAAAAATAATTGAAACAAAAGAGTAATCAACTATGTCAACTATTAGAAAATAAATTAAGTATCTATAGATATTATACGTAAACTTGAACCCATTCAAAATATTCAAGATATGTATTAAGTGTGAACTATTTCAAGCTAATGATCACCTGTTTACCACACGACTAACTGTTGGTTGAACAATTATATGAACCCTGTCAAGCAACAAAAGAATGTTGTCAAGAAATCAAATTATATGTAAATTCAAATCTACAAATAATAGAGGTATTGAAGCAAACAAGAAAGGAAGGAATACTAGCTTGAAATAAAATTAGTATTAAGGGATAAGGGTTCAAAGTTGTAACATAGAGAAACCTCTCATCTGATATTCACTATATAACAAATGAAAATCCTTAACTTAAAGGACTGTGCATACCTAATTTTGAATTCATTATAAGCAAGTTGGGCATCTATCCACCAACTTGATGAAGCGTGTTGGCATTTGTATGTATTTTGCAGAAATATGGATTATATTTCTCTGAATAATACTTGACACAATATGGGAAATAAATAGGAAAGGAAAAATAAATATGTACATTAATCTAGCCTAAAAATCAGGGGAATAATTATCCCTATAAATGCTATGGCTAAATCAGTGTTGTGAAATAGCTGTTATGGCGGCACCATAACAGTATGGCAGCGGCGACCGCAATCTGTTATGGTCGTTTGGGCTGTGTATGGCGGGGATCCGCCATTTTGAAGATGGCGGCCATTACGACGGTTTAGGCATGGCGGTCCAAGGCGTGAATGGCAGACATGGTGCCGTTTTGGGCCATTTTTTTTCTTTTCCAGTTTGGGCCATTTTTTTTCTTTTCCGGTTTGTGTTACCTCTGTTTTCTTTATTTCTAAATTGTTTTGCATCTATAGGTTTGCTGTGTATGATCCAACATATGTCTTTGGTGTGACCTGGTTTCTTGCAATGGTCACACCAAGGCGATTCTTCCATTGTGATGGTCGAGAAAGGTTTCCTCTTGCTGCCATTGCTGAACACTCATTAGATGGGACTAGAATGGACTTTCCTAGCATGAGCTTCCTCCTACTCTCTTCCCTTCTTACCTCTAAGAATACTTCTTGGACGGTTTGGTTCCAAGGATCTTTCCACGGACTTCATCAAGGTCCTGGTCTAGTCCCAATAAAAATGTATAGACCCTATCCTTTTCCACTAGGACTTTGTACTTCTTGTCCTCAATACAACACCAATCCACATCTACGTATATGTCCAAGTCCAACTACTACCAATGACGATTGAGTGTGTTGAAATGCTCTGTGACTAAGGATTCTTCCTGTCGAAGATCATGAAGTATACTTTTGATCCTGAAAATGGCATAGGTGTTGTCTATGTTGGAGTAGTCTCCCTCACTACATCCCACATCTCCTTGGCAGTGTCATAATACATGAAATTTTCCCCAATTTCATTGGTCATGGTGTTGAGGAACCATGACATGACTAGGCTAGTTTCCAACTACCATTTTTGGAGGTTTGGGTCCCCTTTTTCAAGACTCTTGGAGTCTCCTGTAATATAGACTTCCTTCCCTTTTCCTTGGAGGAATATCTTGACAAATCACACCCACATGGTATAGTTTTGACCATTTAATTTGTGGCCAGTGATGGGAAGAATTGACCCTTCTATAGAGCTGGTTTGGAATGACCCAATCTCCACCTTGGGTGAACCTTCTGGTTTCCCCTCTTCCATGGCTGTTAGCACTAGGTTAGGGATGGTTGAAATCGAACTCTAATACCATGTAGAAATATGGATTATATTTCTTTGAATAATACTTGATACAATATGGAAAGGAAAAATAAATATGTATATTAATCTAGCCTAAAAATCAAGGGAATAATTATCCCTAAAAATGCTATTGCTAAATAATAACAAAAACTAGGAATAATATAGATTCTAATTACAATTAATTCTGGTAAGTTGTACACAATTACAATCAAATTCAGATTGATTTGTTCTATTTTCAACATATTTTTTATTTCTAGAACATTTAGGTAGTTAAGATCAAGATCAAGTTGTAACTAGGATCACTTTTTGTATAGTGATGCAATAGCATTTCTATACTTCATTAAAAGAAAAAAAGAAAGAAAAAAAAAGGAAGATCAAGATCAAGATCAGATTATTCAAATCATGACTTTATTCTCCTTCATTCTAGTTGATTTAGTAAGTTAGGATCAAGAGCAAATTATTCAAATCTGATTTATCTTATTCTTCTTTATTTTTGTTGAGATGCAAGCAAAGTCCCACATCGTTCAAATAAGAAGATGGACATGAGTTTATATACACACTTGTCTCCATTGGTAGAGAGGCCTTTTGGATGATGTCCAAAAGCAAAACCGTGAGGGCTTGGGCCCAAAGCGGACAATATCTCACCAATGTGGAAACGTGCGTATATGCGTGGTAACCCCCGCTACACAACAAGTGGTATCAGAGCTGATGATCTGATCAGGTGACCGGCTCGATGAGTATGATGGTTGGCAAGTAGATCCAAGTTTGGGATCCCTTGTGTCAAAAGTTTTCCTAATGGTGGGTCCATGTGGAAGAGAGGCTTCCTAGTAACATGGAGGGTTAGGAGGCGTGTCCCGCTCTCATGAGAGAGGTCATGATGGAGCGGCGGTGAAGCACTCTGAGCATGAGTGTGGGGCCACCATCGGATAACACTCATAGTTTCCGCTGCAGGGGATGGGTTAAACATCGTTCCTTTGTTTAAGGGGAGGATTGTTGGGATGCAAGCGAAGTCCCACATCGTTCAAACAAGAAGATGGACATGGGTTTATATACACACACTTGTCTCCATTGATAGAGAGGCCTTTTAGGTGATGTCCAAAAATAAAACTATGAGGACTTGGGCCCAAAGCGGACAATATCTCACTAATATGGAGACGTGTGTATCATAGTAGTCAATAGCGGCCGGAGCGGCCGCTATCGCGGCGCTCCGGAGCGGAGCGGCCTCACCCCGCAATGTGGCTGCTGTCGCGTGGCGGATTTCTGTAGCGGCTGGAGCGGCCGCGTCGGAGGCGTAGCGGAGCGGCCCAAATCGCGGATTCGCGGGCGCGATTTCAGACTTACCCTTCATTAAGGGTAAGTCAGTCTTTTCAATGGGCTTTTTTTGCCCTAATCATCCCTTCCCTCTCGCGATTTCAGACTCATCCAAAACAAACACCTCGGCTCGTCTCTCCCTCTCTGTTTCTTCTTCTCTGGCGATCGCGTGCAGCTCCGACGAACTCCGGCTCCGACGCACCTCCATCGGCGACGCGCCTCCAGCTCCGACGCACCTCCGACTCCGACGAGCCTCCAGGTCCGACGCAGCTCCGACGTGGCCGCAAGCTCCGACGCGCGTTTGTCTTCTATTCTTCTTCCTCCGACTCGCGTTTGTCTTCTTCTATTCCCCTATTCTCCTTGGTTCTGTCTTTTATGCAACATGCAACATATTTTTTTTTAATTATTTATTAAATTATTTCAACTGATTTTTTTTTTAATTTTTGATTAAATTTAATTGAACAAATTTTATTTTTAAATTCTGATTAAATTTAATTCAACAAATTTTATTTTTAAATTCTGATTAAATTTAATTCAGCAAATTTAATTTTTAATTTCTAATTAAATTTAATTCAGAAAAATTTATTTTTAATTTCTGATTAAATTTAATTCAGTTAATTTTATTTTTAATTTCTGATTAAATTTAATTCAACAAATTTTATTTTTAATTTCTGATTAAATTTAATTCAGCTAATTTTATTTTTAATTTCTGATTAAATTTAATTCAACAAATTTTATTTTTAATTTCTGATTAAATTTAATTTAGCAAATTTTATTTTTAATTTCTGACTATAATGTTTAATTTTTTACTTACTTAGAGCTTTAACACTTTGTTTTGGAGACATTTTATATTATGTATTGTTTGAGTACTATGAACTTTTAATTATTAAAAATGTTTAATGCATGAATTTAGAGTTATTTTTTTGTTTTTTTAGCTTTTATATATATATTATTAATTATTTAATATATATAAATTAATATTTAAATAGCGGTTATCCCGCTCCGCGTCATCCCGCTATCCCAGTTTTAGGGTCGGCCGCTCCGCGCCGCTATCCGGGATTGACTACTATGGTGTGTATATGTGTAGTAACCCCCCGATGCAACAATTTTCTTCCTATCTTATCATTATATTTATTTTGTAATTAGAGTGGATAGGATCCATCCTAGCCATATTTCCCTATATAAAGTCTCGTGTAATTTTCATCAATGTACAAAACTAAAGATCACTCTCTTCTCGTAAAATTTCATTTGTATGTGTTGTTTCAATCTTTTTTTACCTCATAAGGAATTGTCACCAACCTCTTGTGCCCACACACTTCAACAAAATGGTGTTGCCAAGAGAAAAAAGAAGCATCATTTGAGATCTCATATTGACTAGTGATATGACCATAATAGAGTACATAATTGAGAATAATCCTCCCCTAATAAGTTGATTTTGTAAAGTTGAGTTAGACCTAAACTCACATTCTAAGATGGTATTAGAATCTATCCTAATAATTATTGTAGAGCATATTAGACCACCCGCTATTAGCTCATTATTAGACCTCAAATGTCATATTCTACAATCTTCACACTTGAGATGTCCAATCGAGTTAAGCCAAAACCCAAATTCTAAAAGGCACTTTGTCGAAACAACTTATACCCTACTACTCCAAGAAGGTTACATGAACTTGATCTTCTCATTGCACTTAAAGGAATTAATTATATGTGAGAGAGAGAGAGGAGGCGAGAGATAGAGAAGAGAGTAGATTTTCAATAGGTAAAGAATGTAATTCATTAACACACCGAAAACAGAGTACAAGTCAGATTTATATAGAGCCAATTGAGATTGGTCTATAATAACCTAAATATCTATAATAACTGAAATTATCTATAATAACCGAAAATAACAATAAAGGAGTAAAACTATACTCCAATAGCCCCCCGCAAGCTCAAGTAGGATGAGGAGATTCAACTACTTGAAGCTTGGATCTAAGATCACAAAACCGCGAAGGTGAGAGAGCTTTGGTGAGCACATCAACACATTGATCAATAGCTGGAAGATGAACAACTTGAAGACACTTGGCAGCCACTTTCTCGGTCAGCAAGGGTTGCAAATTTTTGAGGAATTTGGGGGTTGACAAGATAATGGTGAAGGGGGTGACCCTTGATGACGGGTTCAACCTGTTGACACCAAAGAAGATAATTCTTGGTGTCAAGCTTTTCGGAGATGGTGTGAGAGAAGGTGAGAGACGGATGGGAGTTAGGGGGAGGATTCTTGGGCAGGACGGTATTGACTGGGTTGGCATGAATTGGTGGAGGAGGCGGTGGTGGTGGGGAAGAATTCATTGTGGAGGTAGATTCAGCCATAGGAAGATGTTGGTCGAGCGGAAACGGAGGAGAGAAGAAGAGGATCAAGAAGCTCTATGATACCATAAAGGAATTATATGTGAGAGAGAGAGAGGAGGCGATAGATAGAGAAGAGAGTAGATTTTCAATAGGTAAAGAATGTAATTCATTAACACATCGAAAACAGAGTACAAGTCAGATTTATATAGAGCGAATTGAGATTGGTCTTTAATAACCTAAATATCAATAATAACTGAAATTATCTATAATAACCAAAAATAACAATAAAGGAGTAAAACTATACTCCAATAGCACTATGCAAAGTTATTCTAAAAATGATAAGTTTAATCAGTATGAGGGTTGAATTGCAACCCTTTAGAAAATCCCCCAACTTGAAACTTTGATCCCTTGACATTCATGAATTATCCACAAATGATTAACAAGTTTAGAAAGTTGGGTTTCTGAACTTCAAAAAAACTTTATATATTGAATAAAATGTAATGCAATTATAGAAGCTTAATACATGGTAGCACAAATAATTGAAGTAATGATAATAAGCTTTCTCATCAACATCCATTATGCAAAATTGTAGATATAATGAAATTTCTTTTCTATTACGTGAAAGTTAAGTAAGGAGAGATAAAACAATTCTCTTCATTATTTCTATTTTTATCAAAAATTTTTCTTTTTTCTTAAAAAATCTCAAATCTTACCTTCTTTGTTTCTATTTTTATCGAGATTTTTTTCTTTTTAAAAAAAAATTCTCAAATTCTCCCTTTTTTGTTTATGCTTTTATTGAGATTTATTAGTCTTCTTTTTTTTAAAAAAAAATCTCAAATCAACCCTTCTTTATTTCTATTTTTATTGAGATTTATTCTTTTTTATTTTTTAAATCTCAAATCCACGTATCAAATAATACATTGAAATGGAAAGGTGTTCATTTGCAGGTGTCTGCGGTGGAAACACGTCAGTTTTGTAGGTATCCACAATGGAGACATGTCAATTTTGTAGGTGTCCGCAATGGAGACATGTCAATTTTGCCGGTGTCCGTGATGGAGACGTGTCTAATTTATGTGGACACAGTATGTCGAAGTGTCTGAGATGCGTCCACAGTGTGTTTGCTCCTAAAGAGTGTCAAACTCAGGGACACGGCAGTCCCATGCCATGTCCGTGCAACATAGCTAGGAATCAAAAAATTATAGGAATGAAAAAAAAAAATACAAAAGTTGACTATAATCCTTCAATTAATGAGATGCCATGATTCTCTTAAAATTTAGGGATTGATTTCCAACCAAAGTTTTCCACCAAAATTTTCGTGAATAGTGAGAACTGGGAAAGACTTTCGTTGTGCTGGGATTGAAGGTTATAGGGGAAATTAACCAACAAGCAAACAAAGGTTTTGATCCAATGAAGTTTTTAAATTGTGCCAAATAATCATGACATGTTTGATTCAAAGAGAAAAACAAGTTAAGGTAGTAGAGAATATTTAGTACCTGAAAAAATAAGGCAACTTGATATACAGAACATTAATGTCATACATTAGTTATCTGAATTAGAAACTTACTTGGCTACCTGACGTAATGGTCTTAAGGCAGGTGCATATAGGTCATTACAAATGCAAATCACCTACATTGACAACCAACATCATCATCACTGCAAATGATTTGTCTAGTGAACAATACTCACAATAAGAACAGAACATCCAAAACTCACAGGCCTTGACAGTGAAGCTGTTTTCGAACCCTTTTTTGATGACTTCCTTTCCGGTTGTCCTTTGCCTAAACTTTGTTTCCCAGCATCAGGCTTCCTTTCGGCAGAAATCTGCATATTTGGTTTGAACAGGGCATTATGATTTCCATAACAAACTTCCATTGATGTTCCCTTCTAACTATTATTAATACTTATCCTAGAAAAAGGAGGCATTATTCCCAACTTCCCTTACCCTATTCGTGGTAGATATACCAGCATAATGTTTGGTTAGAAAAAACTATATATGGTTTTTGATGTTAATTAAAGGTTCTCTAGTCAAATTACAAGTGACAGTGTGACACAGTAGACAAGGAACTTCAGTCCTCTAGACCTGGGAAAATTCATTAAAAATATACAGTTCTATAATAAAATGTATACAAAAGAATATTTCAGATAGACATGTTCGGAGCCCAAAAATCCAACTCTACCCACTCAAAAGTGTACCAAATCTACTTCAAAACACAACAGAACCAGAAAACTACATTTAGCAACAAACAAATGTTATCAAGCCTATGATAACATATTTAGTAAGATAATTTAGGTTCTCCTATTGTACTCGAAATGATGAATGCATGTAAACTGAAACCACAACAAAAATTAAGGTACAAACTTGTTTGATGAAATTGAGACCTTTGACAGCGTAAAAAAAATCTTCAATACAACTCCAACTAAGAAGGTTTGCTTATATAGACAATTCACTTTAGAAGATAGACTGACATTGGAATCTAGAACTAACCATCTTTAAAAGAAACTCCACAGCACCCTTGCCATCACCAAGGGCTCCATCAATTTCATCCAACACCTGAAAAAAAAATGAAAAAAAAAGACAATGGATAACCATTTTCATCCCCATGCAACGATAGTAAGATAGTAAATGAAAATACCTGAAAGGAAGAGAAAATACCAGACAGTTGGGCCTTGAATCAAACAAGACAGAGTTCCTCTGGACCACATTAAGGATTTTGGCTTCGATTGACGATGTAGAACGATCATCACTAGCATTAACCTTCAAAATTTAACACTCTTGTTTGGTATATGTTGAAATTATAAGGACATAAGTAGAGGAGGAAAGAGAGAGTAAGCAAATGAATAATTAGAAATACATAATGATGTGATAAGAAAGACAATTACCGCTACTAACCCCTATTTATGATGATACTAGATATCAAGACCCCTTGGCCTAATTAAATCAAATAATGAACAAATCCTGAAATATAATGATGGAAGCAACACCTAAGAGATCTTTTAAGATACTTTCAAATATGCTAGGATTAATTGTACTTTTTACAGCCCATGTTTTTCAATTTTGCACATTTTGCCACCCTATTATAGAAGAGTTACAACTTCCTATGACTCTCCCCACGAGGTTGTACTATGATAACAAGGCTACGATTCGTATTTCCCAAACATGATCGAACGAAGCATGTAGAAATTGACAACATTTTATAGAGATAAAAAGGTGGATGCAGGCCTGATTTGCATGTCGTTTCTTCCTACTTCAAAGCAAGTAGCAGACATTCTACTAAAAGTATTATTTTTGAGACCTAATTCTTTGTCAGCATACTGAGCATGTTGGACATCTATGCACAGTTGTATGTACTTTTATTTATATTTAAATTTCAAATAAGGATTTCAGAAGATTTTGATAGCTAAGATCAAATTCAGATTTAATCTGATTTTATTTTATTCTAATTTGTTCTAGGAGATTTAGTTACGATCAAGATCAAATTATTCAAAACTGATTTGATTCTCCTTTATTTTCTCTCTATCTTATCTTAATATTTATTTTGTAATAGTCATCTTTGTCTATATAATTCTGTCATGTAATTTTGATCAATGTACAAAAATAAAGATCATTTTCTTCTCCAAAATTACATAAAATAATAAAGAACAATACCTCCACCACACGATATCCACAGTGCCCAGCAGCTACACGTGCAAGTGTTGTTTTTCCTAGACCTGGTGGTCCACAGAGCAGAAGTATCTGAAATCATTATAAAAATTTAGTTATCAATAGGATTCAATTCAACACTCGATATCTAGCAAAAAGGTTGATATCATGAAACATTTATATAAATCAAATGGCAGCATCTTATGCCAAGTACAAACAACACAATGAGCATAGTGCAATTGCCTAGTTAAAAGAATCTCATGGATAAGATTATCAAGAAACAATACATTAATAATATGATGTTTTATTAGAATGCTTTAAATATTAAAAGTCCAAAAAGAGCTAAAAAATTAAAGGATTTTTCGGTACAGTATATTTAAATAACATATTAGATGGGAATCTGGTCCAGTTTGATCTGGAGTGACAGTCCATTAACAAATATTCTAGAGAGAGCTGCAGCATGTGGCAATTCATGCTCAATGCATCAGAATTTTATAACATGATTTGGAGGGAAGATAAGTCTTTTTCTCCAGGAACTATAATCAAAAAACACAAGTGAAAAGTGCTCAGTTGGAAGCTGAAAAAATAGACCTGTTTCCAACACAGCAAAAATCATGGAGTAAAAAATGTTTACATTTCAAGAAAAAAGGTAATTGTTTTCCATACTTTTCTATCAAAAAAAGAGTCATTATGTTCATTGTTACACACCCTACCATTCTGTGTGCTCATGAGATGGACAGATAAGTGCAATTATAGTGAAAATGTTGTCCACATAAATAAGCAAAATACTAATCATAACCCAAATAGATAATACCAAATACTAATACATATTCTAACCCCACCCTGGCCTGATGGCCCCAGCACAAACATGTTAAATTGTTAATTTGCACAACACCTTACAAATCTGACAAAAATTGTCTCCAGTCTTTACAAAATCGACACAAATAATACCATGATTCTACCAACTCAACACTATTGCATATTTGTGTTTAAAAAATCACAAATGCATGTATGGCTATTTAAGTGTAGTCATTTGGATAATAAGCATTTTACCACACAATTATTGAGGAAAATGCAATCAGGCAATTCTCATAAATACCTTCTGTTCTGGTGGACCAATATTCCTTGACTTCGTATTCCACACATCTTGAATACTCTTTGAACTACCACTCTCTTCCATACTTCTAGAATTTATATACCTCTTTCCATTACTCCATTTGGATCCTCCATTCATCCTTGGAAACTTTGAATTCAAAGGTTTCTGATTGTGGACAACAGAAGAATGTCGTTTCAAAGCAGCCAAAACGTCATCTGATGTGCTTCGAATTTCAGATCCAAACACATAAGAATCCCATTGTTTCAACCACAAGAGTACCTATCCAAGACAACAAATCAAATCAGTCAATGGAAACAGAAGTCAAGCCAAGAAAGTCAAAGAATAATGTCTTTAACTATAGCAGTTTAATAGATGATTTTCATAGCTGAAAATGTTATGGACTTATGGCAAGTATATACCTCACGATTTGTCTGTTCATCACTGAGGAGCTCAGTAAACGAATTTGGAGCATATTTGTCGACCCAAAGCTGCTCATGCACCAATTGTGCTTCAGGAACATCTGGAACACTTTGGCCTTCAGAACTAGTTTCCAAGGCCTTCAACATCGCAAGAACAAGAATAAGAAATCAGAAATACCACAATTCATGTTTGATAACCAATTTTATATGCTTCCCAAGTAACAAATAACCAAAATGCAAAAGATACTGAAATTTTCAATCAAATTTCAGGCTCTCCAGAGCTCAGAAAAAGCATTAGGCCAAACCTTAGCAAAAGCCTCTTGCTCCAACCTCTCAAGTATAGCATTAATTGGTTCTGAATTAAGCTCTGCGAGCAAAATACAATTCTAGCAAATAAGCTTGGTGTCAAACAAAGCTCATTATAAAAATTCAAGCAAAAAACTCACGTATTAGAACAATTAAGATTCTAACAAAATTGGAATCTTAAATATCCATTCGAGAGTGGGATTTTCTACTAAAAGAAAAACGAATATTTTCATCTCTGATAAATATTCTCTAATTTGACAATCCATTAAAACAAAACAAATAAATGATAAACTACCATTAACTTAAATGTCCTAATGCTTTGTTTCTAAAAGTAAAAAAGTTGTCCTCCAAACTTACCTAACGAAATTGTAAAAATGCAAATAATCTTGGTGCAGATCCAGTACACTTGTTTTTTTTGAAAAGCATTCATTTTTCTTCACCGTCCCAAACATGAGCTTAATTACCCTCTCTCCTAAGTGATTTTTAAAGTAAAAAATTTACTTAAGTTGTTTTAAAAATATTATCAAGTGAAGTAGTTTCTAAATATTAAAAAAAAAACATCAAATTAGTCTCGAAACTTCGGGGAAAATACATCAACCTAATAACTAAAGACTAAAGCGATGAACATTGATTCCTTAAATAATTATATTACTCTAGATATTAATACTATGGAAAGAATAATAATTCCAGTACGAAATTGGTGGTTTATTAAAAAAAAAAAAAAAAAACAATACCAGCAGAGTATCCATTGCAATCGAGCTTCATGACGCGGTCCTCTCCTTGGAACCGATTCAGCTTCGCGTAAACCCTGTCACCGTTGGGCGCGGTGACCGGCATGCACTCGCCGTCGATCTCCGAGGCGAACCTCGACAGCGTCTGCTCCTTCGCGAACGTCGTTTCCTGCGCCGGCTCCGGCGGAGGAGAGTACCGGAGCCAGTCCTCATCGGCGACGGAGGAATTCTCCTCGAGGGAAACCCTAACCTCCGGTCTCTTCTCCTCCGCGGGCGGAGGAGAGTGGCGGAGCCAGACCTCGTCGGCGGCGGATGAATCTTCCTCGACGGAAACCCTAACCTTGGCTCTCTTCTCCTCTTCGGGGGGATTCGGACGCGATCGCTTGTTGGCGGCGAAGGATTGGGCCTCGGGAGGAAGCGCGAGATCTGGCGGCGGTTGTTGGGAGTGGGTTTCGGCGGAGTGGAGCTCTGGGAAGTAATAGTGGTGGTCTTCTTCTTGTTCGGGGAAGTGAGAATTTGATTCGAGTAATTCGAGCTCTTCGGGAAGGGGAATGTCCATGTCCATGTCCATGTCTATCGTCGGTGTTTGGTGGTAGTGAGAATGTGAGCGGTTTGTGTTGTGTGCAGGTTAAGTTGCGGTAACTCGACTGGTTTTGGCGGGAAGGTGGGAAAAGATACGTGGTTCAGTGCTTGCGTGCCCATTGCTATTGATCGTGTGTCATGGCTGTCAACCGCTGATTAGGTGGAAAAAGATATTAACTGTACTTATTTAATGAAAAATAAATATTAAAATGACTTAAGGTGTATTTCAATTGAGATTTTTAAAAAAAAAAATATATATATATATATATATATTATTAAAAAATTTGTTGTATTTAATTAAGATTTTTTTTAATATATAAAATTTATGTGATATTTAATTAAAATGGTTAAGATATTTTTAAGAATACATAAAAATATGATTGTATTCAATTAAGATAATTAGGATATTTTATAAATGTGTTAAAATTTGGTGGTATTCAACTAAAAAAAATTCACTTTATTAAGCGAAAGGTTCTTAATATTTCTGCTAGTGGATGTGCTTGGTGTAGTGAAGATTTGGAGAATACTTCTCACTTATTATTCAGATGTTATTATGTCTATTTTGTATGGTTATCTATTTTTGTTTGGTTTGGTGTTTCAACAGTTTTACACAACTCTTGTCATGAAAATTTTGCTCATTTTATTGGATTTTCTATATGCAATGGTAGAGATAGGATGAGGTGGTATGTGGTTTGGTTAGCCACAATTTAGTCTCTGTGACTTGCTAGAAATGATGTCATTTTTAAAGACAAGGTGGTGGCAATTACGGATTTAGTGGAATTAATCAAACTACGTAGCTGAAACTAAATTAAGACCAAAGATAAGTCATTTTTTTACCCATTCTCAACGTGGTTTTCTTCCCCTGGTTTTTGTCTTAACTTCTGGAATAATGATTATTTCTGGTTCTGTACACACCATGATGTTAGTTTTGTATCTGATTTTCTAATTATTGAACTTGTTTGATTATTAAATGACATTTTATGGTTCTAGTTTTGTAATGGTGGTAGACATTACAATCTGGTGATTACCTTTTGTATGGACTACGTTAGATTTTATTTAGGTGACTTTGTATTTTGTAATAGGTTGGGATACCCCTTATACTCCCCTTAATTTATTTTGCTTATCAAAAAAAAAATATATATATATATATATATATTTTATTAAAATAAATTCACTAGATATATTTATTTATCCAAATTTTATTACAAATATGACATCAAATTATTTTAAAATTTTAAAAATTTATTAAAATTATTTAAATACAGAATTCAACAAAAAAAATGTTACATTATGTAAGAATAATAAAAATATATTATTTCATTTCATTTAAATAAAAATAATAATAAAATAAAAAGTGTTGACAAATACTATTAAAATATAAAAACAAAATAAACTTTAATAATATTATTAAAATTAATGAGGTTAAAAAATAATGAAATATAAAAAATAAAAATAAAAAATAAAGATACGAGGAGAAAAAGAGATGGGAGGCAGAGAGAGAGAAAGAGAAAGAGAGTAAAAGTAAGAGAGAGACCGATAGAAATAGAGGAGAGGGAGAGAGAGGGTAAGAGTGGGAATGATCACAATGAGCAGCACCATTTCAAGTTGTTGTGACTCTTGACATTTTGCGAATAAAATTGAGAATAAGATTTGATGGAGAAACTAAAGTATGCATGCCACTTGGTATGTGATTTGGCTTACACCCAAAATTAGGAAAATGAAAGGTAAAAAAAAAATGAGGTATGCCTTCTCTTTAAATAATAATATTTTTCAGTACCGTGTATATTATTTAAAGATTGGCTTTTGTGAACCTCAATGAGAAACTTTAAATTATTTTTTTTAGAAAAAACAATAATAATATTACTTTGAGAATATTATTCTTCATAAATAAATAAGTGTGAGATATCATTTAAAAAATTATGTAGATAATTAATTCTTGAAATTCTCTTATAATATAAATAATTAATTATTAGCACTGGTTCTCGTGAATAAAAGATGAGACTTACCTTATATTACATATGTTGATATCTTTGAGGTATGATGTATTATTGATGTTAGTTTTTTTGAGTTAAACTTTTAAAAAAACTATTGACGTTTATGACATGCAGAGACATTGTGAAATTATTAACAATTATTAGTAACATGATTGGTTATAATGTTAAATATGATGTTATTCATAGTACAAATTTCATATAACATGAGATGTTATAGAGATGTCATGAATTATTGTATTTAATATTGTGGATTTATCATTGTATTAGAAAATACAATTGAGTCTTTAATCCATACAAGACAAAATCTATTAATATTGTGTCATTATACTTTTTTGTAGTGAAATTACTTTGAAATCAATCAATAATAATTATTGAATTAAAGTTTGTTAATCTATATATGATTAGACTTGATATTTGAGAACCTCTTAGCTAATATTTCATTGAGAATACAAAATTAAGAAATGACATGATATAATAGTTGCTTAAAGATTTAAAATTATTGATCATGTGATTATTTATAAGATACTGTGAATTATTAATTATAAACATTTAGGAAAATTATATTTTATTAAAGTTGTTTGAAAGATAGTAAGTAATTAAACCTTTGTGATTAAAGATCTCCATTCAATGAAAAAAAATCAATTGTTAGCCTTGTTAACATTAAAATTGATTAAAAACAATTTTTTTAATCTCTTCTTATAATGTGAGAAAGTGTCAAAACTGCATTAATAAAAGAATAATCATTATAGTCAAGTTGGCTTAAATATGTTTTTAGTCCCTTAAATTTAGGGTAAATTTATTTTTGGTCCTCAAATTTAAAATTGTTGTTTTTAGTCCCTGTAATTTTAAAAAAAAAATCTTATTTTAGTCATTGTATTCAAATTTTGCAAAGAATTTTATCAAACACCATTACATAAAATCTACCTATTGATGTCCCTATTAGTGAAAATATCACATTAAATCCGATTGATATTGCATAACTTTCTTAATTAGTCACTTTCAAATATGTTATTGGTGACCTAAGGGACTAAAACGAGATTTTTTAAAATTATAGAGACTAAAAACTATAGTTTTAAATTTGAGAGACCAAAAACAAATTTGTCTTAAATTTGAGGGACTAAAAACATGTTTAAGCCTAGTTAAGTTTTATGTGATCATGAGAAAGTTTTACCTCTTAATAAAATTTTTAATTATTTTCATATCTCTTATGTGTGGTGTATGATTTGTAATATATACTTGATCACTTATATGATTATCAAGTGGAGTTATTTGCATGAGGATTTTGACAAAATCTCTAGAGCATTTATGAATATCAAACACACACATGGTCTAAAAGTGCAACATAATGATAACAAGGATCATGAGAGCGTATTGTGATTTGTTAACATATATATATATATATATATTATATATATATATATGCCAAGTGTTTTTGGATTCAATAATTTGCTACACTCATAATATTGTGTGTTAAGTTTTATTAATTTAGATTTAGTTTAATAGTTTGCTACATCATATCTAATGCATTACATCTTATATGAGAGTATATCTAAAAAAATTTTAAACTTTTTGAAATATGTGGAGATTGTTATATTGGTTCAGGGTTTGATGAAAGATTTTAGGTTTAATATTTCTAGAATTTTTCTTTTCAAATGTCTATTACATAAATATTTTATGTGAATTTTTAAGATAATAATTAATATTTTAAATTTTATATGTAAAGTTTTTTATTTACATTTATTTAAACACTGAAATAATTAATAATTAATGTAATTAATGTTTATGATTTTTTACACTTTATTATATAAATATGTTATTATTTTTATTTTAAAAGAATATTATTTTGGATGAGAAATTTTGAATATTTCACTTAAAAACTATTTATATTTTTTTAATGTGAAATTATGTTTAATTACATTTTTTTATTAACATAAAAAAATAATATTTTTATAATTATTATTTTTGATATTTTGAAGAAAAAAAATTGTTACAAAAGTTGTTGATTTTCTTAATGTGTTATTTTTTTTCTTCATTAATGTGCATTAATTTTTAACATATAATAATAAATATTTTTAGTAATTAACTTTTCAAAACCAAAATAATAAAAATGGAAAATATTAAAAGATATAAATATTAATAATTCGTTACTTTTGATCAAGAAAAATCATCTCCATATTGGATAACATATTCTTATTATTTAACTTAAATACATTCCATAGATGAATGACACCTATATATATTTAATTTCTAGCTGATTTTTAAGGACAATGCCTTCTATAAATGTCTGTTTGTTTCCATTCTAAAAGCAAGAAAGCAAATAATATTGGTTGAGAACATATGAATTTGGATACATTTCTTATATTAACATGATAAATAATAATTTATATAATTACTATTTTAATATTCTAGAAAGAAAAAATTGTTTTAGAAATTGTTCACTTTATTGCTTTTATTTTTATTTTTATTGCTAATATACATTAATTTTTAACATATAATAACAAATTTTTTAATAACTTTTTTTATTTAAATTTTATAAATCTTTTGGGTGAGAAATGTTTAATATTTTACTTTAAAAATATTTACATAAAAATAGTAATATTTTTATGTGAAATTATGTTAAATTAGATTTTCTATATTAATGTAATAAATAAATAAATATAATTACTATTTTTATATTTTGGAGAGAAATAATTGTTGCATGTTCATTGTGCTAATATTTTTTTTTCTTTCACCAATATACATTAGTTTTACCGTATAATAGTAAATATTTGTTATTTTTGTGTGAATTTTATAATTACTTTTACTTTAAAACTATAATAATTTAAAATTAATGTAATTAATGTTTTATGGTATTGTTACTAATTATTCTTATATTAATGTGTTATTATATTATATAATTATATAAATAATAAACTTTTATTTTTATTTTATAAAATTTATATATAAAAATATGCCGGAGGAAAATTTATGTGTGATTATGTTTAGTTACACTTTTTATATGTGAAATTATGTTTAGCTACATTTTGTTTGTATATAAAGACATAAAGAAACACTATCAATAAATCATACTTATTAAATACTCTTTATAAATCATATTTATTATTTTTTTTGTAAAAGTTTATTGATTTAT